GTGGAAATACGACCATTACGTAAGGTGACTAGGCAGGGCAGTGAGGGACAAGCAGGGAGCAGGAGTAAACAGAGTTCTAGAAGTGTTAAGGTAGCTTTATTCAACTTTCTTTTCCAACAGTATGCTAAGTATTCCAGAATGTTCTTTCTCCACTTCCCTTCTACCCAACATCCCCGCTTCCTCCCTCTATCCCTGAATTTTCCCCTTTCATCTCCCAGAAATCCCAAGATAAAGATATGGTTTTGCTTGGTCAAAAGAAATACATTCCTCCCACCCTGGTGGAGGGTGTGACCAGTTGTGTCTGGGCTCCAGTGCTAAGGTGTTCTGCAGCTGCTGTTTTTGCCAGAAGGAGGTCCTCCTCTTTTGGAATTTGCTTTGCTTATCAGTTCGTGGGAGTTCAGGTCCTTACCTTGTAGGACACAGTTCAATCTTCATCTGTTCAGTCAGCCATTTATTTCACGGCATCGGAGGAATGATTATTGAGGTTGTGGTTAATAAATGATACCAATTTAGGTGTTTAGGGACTTGTGCATGAATCTGGAGTCTTTAGGGTAGATTATCCTATCCTAAACAATGACTTTATCCTTTATTTTAGGAAATGAAATTAAAAACTGATAGAGTTAATTGAGGTGGGCCTGGAAATTTCACTATGTACATAATCTATACGTTTTGCTTTCATCAAGAGAAATCAGCATCTTAAGGAACAGAAAAGTGAGCATGAAGCAATTGAAAATATTAAAACGCGCCAAGGTAAATGACTCCTGGATGCCATTTAGGAGGGGAAAAATGATCTTAGCTTTTACAGCATCTAAGAAGGTTTGGGGACACAGTTCGCATATGGCACTCGGAGTAAACTGTTCACAGTGCAGTGCCTGGAAGTTACAGAATTTATGATGGTAACCAGAATATATAAATGGGGATGCACCATGAGTGAGTTTCAGAATTAGGGACTAATCAAGGCTTAGAAACAAATGACTGGCAGAAGGAAATCTGACTTACATTCCTTGAGTCTGATAGTCTCAACAACAGCAATCGACTAAAACTGGCATGCACTTTGAACCCTAAGAATTCTAAGAATGAAAACAGGAACACGTAATTGAAGCAAATGCAGTGGTTTTTTTACTTACAAGTGTACTTGGCTGCTTTCACCAACAGTAAGAGCATTTTGACTTTTTTTTCCCTAAAGTATATACTGAGTATATGTACATTCTTATCTAAGTATTTAAGGGTACATTTGCAATGGAGCAAATATTCCCGCATTGCACAAGCCTTATCTCTTTGCAAACCTAAATACTCTATTGAAGAACTGCTCTTGTAAATCATACTATATAAGCAATGAGGCTAATTGGTTCTCATTTATTTATATTTATAGGCAAATTTAGAGAAACCTCATTGAGTATTTGCTTGTCTCTTACAGTTTGCTAGGGACATACGGGAAGTAAATTAATCTCCCCTGTACTCAAAGAGTTAGCAATCTTATTGAGGATTTAAGATTTACATTCGTTATTAAAATAGTAATTAATGTAAGTCAGTTTACTCACAGGCCAAAATGTATCTTACAGATACTAAGTCAATGATTCTCAAATGTTAGTGCATATAAAAACCATGTTGGGAGCCAACTATACATGAAGCCACATTTTGACCCAATAGGGCAGGGAGTCTGCACTTTTGTCAGGCCCTCCAGATTATTTGGATGCATTTGGTGCAAGAAGCCTCCTGCATGGGTGCATGGAAAGTCATGAATTGTCAGGATGGATTTATAGAAAGTAGCAGATCTGAGATGGGTCTACAAGATCAAACTTCAAGGATGGGTGGGATTTAAATACAGAGAATGAAAGCATCTTCTTGGAAGTGGAAAAGGCCTGAAGAAAAGTACAAATTTGAGAGTAAATGTGGCATAAGAATGAGACAACCAGAAAACAAGCCTGAGAGAAGCATGTGGGATGGCCACTTAAAAGCTGATTTCTAGCCCCCTCGTGTTGATTGTCTACATAACTTAAGCATCCTGGACAATCTAACTTCTTTATGAAGGTAACCAGAATATGTAAAGTAGGAATCTTTCTTTCTCTTTATGCCTGAACCTGAGTTTCACATAAGTTATGTCCAATCATAAGGCTCAATGAACATAAAAAAGCAAGCCCTAGAGCTATAGTTCCTAAGCCAACCAAACCAAGGCCTGTATACAAATTTAAGATTTGATAATTTAGTGCTTAGTGTCAAAGTAATAGTCATTATGATAGACACATGATATAGCACCACAAAAGCATTGCCTTAGGAGCCAGACAGGGCTAGATTTAAATCACTGTTATACCACTTAGGACCTGGGACATTTTCCTCAGCCTCTTTGAATTTTAGTTTCCAAATCTATAAGAGAGAAATAATTATAATAATACATACATTACCAATATTTTGTATTGGGTTTTAAAGATTAAATGAGGTGGTGTACATAAGCTTCCTGGCACATAGTAGATAACTGTGAATGAATGAACAATATTTGTAATATTTTTATATTTGTAAAGAATGTGTTTTAAATAGATTAATCCATGATTATGCAATGGTGTGATTCATTTTAGGTCAGATAAGTTAAATATAGCACAATTATAATTTATGAAGAGAGGTTTATGGGGTTTTTTTGTACGAAAAGAGGTGAAATTTGACAACTATGGAACTAGTTAACAATGTGATGTGGTTTGAAGGACACCCTAAGGTATGTTTCCAAGGGGCCCAAAGTCTCCTGTTAAGTTTCATTCCCTGTGATTATTGATGTTTAGTGTGAATAATTTTGTCAGACCTTTTCTCTCTATGACAGTGGAGAGAAAGCCACTGAAGAACAGGAGATTGGCCGGACGTATAGAAAAGGTGGAACCGTTTTGTAAAACGGGGCACCCACGGAAAATGAGCTGGCTAGAGCCCCAGGCCATAACAGGAGGGTCCTGCAAGCCTTTGTCTGGCAAGAAATGGGCACCAGAAGAAAGAAAATAAGGCACAGAAAGGAGATCCTGATAAATGTCAAGTGCTTTTCCTTTAGCCCCTGTCTGGTTTGAGTGCCATCATTCCCTGCACGTCGAGGCCCTCATTTCTGTTAAATGTCACACAAATGCCTTTTCATTTTTGGTGTCATCTCACAGAGTGAAATCCTCTCAGGTGAGAAAGTGAAGCTCAAATGGTCTCACCAGGTGGCCTAGGGAAATCTGAGAACAGAAATGGTTTCTTCAAAAAATAGTAAAAAAAAAAAAAAAAAAGCATGCAATGAACTGTTATATAGAAACAAATAAGTATTGAAACTGCTTTAAGTAACTCAGTTCCTTTAATGTTTATTTATTTATTTATTTTTAAATTTTATTTATTTATTTTTTTGGTGAAGGGGATTGGCTGTGAGCTAACATCTGTTGCCAATCTTCCCCTGTTTGCTGAGGAAGATTGGCCCTGAGCTAACATACATGCCCATCTTCCTCCATTTTGTATGTGGGACCCGCCACATCAAGCCCGCCATGGCTTGATGAGTGGTGTGTGGGTCCGCGGCCAGGATCTGAACCCGTGAACCCTGGGCCGCCAAAGCAGAGCATGCAAACCCAATCACTACGCCACCGGGCTGGCCTCCCTTTAATGTGTTTTTAACACTATTTATTATTGAAGCCTATTTATTATTGTTCACTATTTATTACTTTTATTATTTATAACTTTCCACTCTTTCTTTTATCTGAGAAATTCAAGGTATAATATACTTTTCTGATTTGGAGACTATTTCTTCAGTTTACTATTCTGATTTTCCTGAATCACTATATGTGTGATATATCTTTAGAAATTTAGACTTTTAGAAGAAAAAATAATGATTTCTCATTTACATTAAAAATACAGTGAGTGTTAGAGAAAGAATTATTTTCCTCGATGGGAATTAGAAATAAGGTCTAAATGCTAACCATAGATTATATAAAAGTAGTTATTTCTGCCAAGCGAAACTGACTATAAATTATAGAGGGAAATGTATTTTGTTTATACCTATAACTGGGTGCATAGTAGTTGCTTAGTTGAGGTTCTTAGATCATTAATTTACAACACAATGAAAACAAACCAAACAGTCCCTAGCCCTGAGGAGTTTCAAAATATATCCTCCATATCGCTGTCAGGACAGTGCGCATCTTCACACGAGCACATGCACACACACACACACACACACACACACACACCCCTTGGATGGCCCTAATGACTCATCTTTGTGCAGATTCCCTGATAAATATCTAGTCAGTATCAGCACAATAGTATCAACTCAATCTGAAAAAGTCTTAAAGGGGAGGGCTTATACAAGACTTTATGGTAACGTTTGATTTCCTATCAAAAGAGGCAATAGGTTCCAAGAAATACACAGAACTTTGCTTTCCAACATGAAGAAATCATTGTGCAGTTGAGTGCGGTATTGGGAGAAAAATGCTTCTCAAGTCGGAAAGCAGTGTTATTTATCCTTTGAATGAGGGCAGAGGATTTCTGAATGAGAGCGGTCAGAAGCTCCTCACTGAGCCAAACTTCTCATAGGCAGTGTAGAAACCTGCCTCAACATATCATCTGAGAAGCACCCCCCAAATCCATCTGTACCAAAAACTTTCCCTTTCACGCTGCCTTGCACTGAAATTCCTGCTATTGTTATTCCAGTTAGGCAGCCTGGCTGTCAGAGGACATCAAAAGGGGCGGAGAGGCCTCATTGCGGGGCAAATTCAACCAACCTCAAGATTTTCCCTTCTCTTAAACTCGGCCGGTTTATATTCCAGGTAAAGTGAGCTAAGAAAATAAGGAAAGAACAGCTTTATCTTTCAAAAGCCATACGAGCGAATGGTCTTTGATTTCTCGAAAGCACTCTTGGTCTTATCTCTCCATGTTAATTGTGACAGTAAAACAATGAAGATCGAGGTTTAATTTTAACTCACTTTGGTCAGTCTAGGGCAGTGAATGAAGATCATGAGCTGGAGAAATATTAATCCAGGTTGGTTATTTAACATCTGCCTTATTTTGAGGAGAACACTGCTGAAGGCACCTGCTCAGGACAATGAAACTCTTCAGTTATATTTTGGTTTATCGCAGGCTTCTCCTCGTAGTTTTCACTCTGTTGATTTTACTGCCCCTGCCTATCATCCTCCGCACCAAGGTGAGTGAACCCAGAGAACAGGCTGGTGGATTTCTTGATTTATTTAATTATCCTTTACTGTTGCAGTGTAATTGCCTGGCTCAGAGCTAAATAGATGGTGATTCTTTTGGGCTTGAAGTCAGGATGGTTAGACATTGTGTTTGGTCCATTTTCCCCCTTTTTAGTGGTTAATGTTGGTTGATTCTCAGTATGATTAACTAGAATAGTTAAACAGTATATTCAATCAGAATTGTTCTTTGCCTGTCAGCTAGATGAGAGGAAGAACAAAAGAAGCACAACTTTTGAGATCTTGTCATTCAAGTTATCACTCCTTTCCCCTGAGCCTATGTGGCACTGGGGCAAGAGCTGGAAGAACAATGGGGAGTTCCAGGGTTGAGCACAGACTAATTTACTTGTCAGCTCTACAGCTTGGTGTGGCTCACAGAACCTCCTGGAAGTTTAGTTTCCTTATGGGATAAGAAGACATTGAAAGCATAAAGTAATTTTCTTTGGTTAATCAGAAAATCTAACAAATTATTGTACCATGTTCTGATCATTCCAGATTTTATTTCATTTTGGTGTAGGTTGAAGCATTTTTCTGTTTGCTTTTAAGTGTAGTCAGTCTATTAAGTAGAATGATAAATTCAATGCATTTTTAATCCCTTGGCAAAATGATTTAATTCAGCTAACATTTAGTGAGCACCGTCTCTGTGCCAGGCATGATGAGTGTCACTTGCTGGTAAGAGGACAGGCACTGGAGCCAGGCTCTCTGCTTTAGGTCCCAGATTTACCACTTAGAATCTGTGTGACCTGGGCAAGTCACTTAACCTCTCTGTGCTTCTGTTTTCTCTTAGTAAGGTTGGGATAGTAATGGGCTTTGTGAGGATTAAATGAGTAAGCACACCTCAAGCTCTGACTTGGAGCAGCAGCTGGCACACAGTAAGTGGGGCAGTGTGAGTCTCCCCAAATGTGTTGACTCCACAGCTGGTGCAGTTCTCACCACCCCATGATGCCTTGTCTCTGAGTAGAAGAGAACCTTTCTGATGATCTTCCCTAACAAGTATTAATCAAGGTTGTACCATCTGGGTTGAAACAGAATCCCAGAAATTATAAAATGATGGGTCCTCCGGCCTCCTTCAGAAGTAAGCCACTGATCTGGGAATCTCTGAGGGAAATTCATGTGAGCTAATGAAAAGTCCCTTTGGACTCTGCCAACATCTCCTCTACTTGCAAAGCTGGTGAAGGGACTACCGGCCTCTGCTGCCCGCAGCTGCGGGTTGTCTCCTACAAGAGGAGGAGTCTCCTCTCCCAGGCTGGGCCTCTCCTTGCACTGAGGCCTCATAGTACTCCATGGAGGGAGGGAAGGACTCCCCACCCTTTTGGTCAACCATTGTTCTGAGTCCCCAAAGTCTCACAGAATTTCTAGTGAAAACACAGGCACAGTCCATTGTTCTTGGTTTGGTTGGTTTTGTTTTTCAAATTCTGTCTGACTAATCATCCCCTCTACTCCCTTCCCCCCCCCCACCCCCCACCCCCACTGCAGCTACTTTTGAGCACTCCTTTATGAGTCTCTGGCAATCACTAGATGACAAATTTGAGCCATAGACACAGGGCTCTAATCTGAATGCCCACCCCCATCCCCCTTTGAAGACCTGTTGCTCCATCTATCATGCGTGATGGCCTTCTCTTTCCAACTCCCCTTGTCCTGCAAGTCCCTTAGACCCAGCTGAATCCTACCATAAACACTTCCTGGTTCACACCTGGCCCCCTGCTATGTTTTAACATTTCTGGGTTAGTCTCAGCATAAGTCCTCACTTATGGCAGAGAAAGTAAGAAATTAGTCAAGACAAACTTAGGCTATGACTGTGTATCATCTATACTGCTCTTTCAACATAAATGCACGGCACTTTGATTATCTTCCATAATTTTCAGAGAAAGTGAATATAATAAACCCTTTGAAAGAGAAAACAAGTAAATAAATAAAAAGCAATGGTTTCAGTGCATGATTCATTAACCAGAAAGTGTATTCTTGCTAAGAAACGCAGTCATTAATTTTTTCCCAAGGTGCCATGACAAGAGTACATTAGGTCTGTAGGGAAACCAGGGACCTAGCATCAGGTTGCATTTGCTGACCTGTGTTCCTCTTTCCTTTCCTTCTGATCAACTCATCTGTTGAAACTCAACGGTAATCAGATTTTTTCCTAGTACAGTAACATCATTCTTTTTTTTTTGGTTACTTTAAACGCATATTTAATCATTCAATCAACTGCTAATTAAACTCAAAGAATATTATTTTAACTGTTACTTACAATGAAAGCAGAACATTTTTTCAGAGCATATGGGCCTTTGGAGGGCATAAAATTTGAGTAGAGGCTTACTTTGACATGGATGCAAATCAGTTTATTGTTAACTTTCAGTTTAACTGGAGAACCCTATGTTTCTAAACACACAGTAATAGAACAGCTAAAGAATTCAAGCAAAAGAAAAAGTCAATTTTGCTTTATAAAAACACAATAAATCTACATGATGTAGAACCAACAAACAATGAATTATTGACTGATTTTTTTTTTTATTTTCCTAATGGTTATTGAGTTGTTTCTATGTACTGGCCTTAACCCTTACCTTAATTCCATCTCAAGTCAAAAATGTGGCATCAATGATGAGACCTTAGTGGTTTTTCAATGTAAGATTCAAAGGGAAGAGGAAGGAATTCGCTTTGCAGAGCATGCTTCTGTTCCAGGCATTCTGCCAGCTGCTTTACCCAACTTATCTTATTTAACCTTCATTACAAACCAATAAGACAATCAAATATGTGCTATCACTCTCGTTTTACATTTGAGGAAATTGATTCTCAAAGACACGATTCAACAAAGTCCGCATAGAAGCTGTAGAAACTGGATTTGAACTTGAGTTCTGTCAGAACTCAAAATTCAGGCTTTAGCAGTGGTTTTGTTTTAGTCTTTTCTATATTTTGTATTTTTGAAGATTTATCCTCTATTTTGAAGAGTTACATAAAGCGTGGCTTGGTAATCATTTATCGACAACTCAGGCATTTCTCTTTGTGATAATGTTTTAGACAGGTCAAACCACAGAATAGATGTATCTTAGCCATTTCCTCAATTGACCTCATGCTACTCAGTCGTTAAGGTAGAAAATTGCAGTTATTCTAACCACTGGGGATGGGCCTATGAGAACTGAAGTAGCAGTTTTCTTTTATGTGTGTCATTTGCTGAATGGCCCAGAGTCCCAGCTACAGGCTGGTCATGTCAGCTTGTCAAGATATAGTGCCCCTTCCCTTCATATCTGTGCCCAAATGCTCATCATGAGTCATGGTGTTAGGTTGGCATCTTAATGTCTTCTGGTCAGAAGAGTCTTAGGACTGTGTTTCTCAATGTTTTCACAGAAATGATATTTTAAAGCAAAGGAGAATATGACTCACCCCAGAAGCCCACGAGCATAAGTCGAACAGAAGCTCAAATTTAGTCCTTATGAGTTAGATGTTATTTTTAGTCCTATTTTGCAGATTAGGAACAGAGACAGAAACAAGTAAATAGTTTGCCAAAATGTGGCAGTACAGATGTTTCCAATCAACATCTGTCTGACTCTAGAGCTAGTGATCTCAACCACAACTGAATATCTGTGTCTTTATAGCTTCCACAGTGGTAATAAGTATATTCCTAATAAATTGGTGTAAATGTTGCTTTGCTAATGGAATACTATTTTCTTATTGCTTTATATTGAATCATCAGCAATGCTGTCTTTTTAATTGTCACATGGACATAAAGATAGTCTTAGCCCTTCCCAAGTTAGTAGTTAGTGATCAATAAAACAAGCCTGAAATGTAATTGCTATTTACGTAAATATTTGAATGAAATTAATGATTGCACTGAATTTGTCTCATTTTGGAGAGGAAATTTCTTAAATTGGAGAGTGCATTTCTTCCAGATATGTCTCATTCCATCTAGTTTATCCATTACTTAGGACCCCCTTTTTGAGAAAAAGAGACAGAGAAACAGCCACACGGATATTGAGTTGCATTCCCTAGGTGATTGGTTGTAAAACCAAGACCAGATTTCAATTTTCACTCAGGTACCTCTGGATTTCTCTAGGAAATATTTTACATCAAGAAAGACTTGAAAAGAGAAGAGACTGAGAGTCAACACAGCATAGCATTAGTGCACCAGAACGGCACAGGCTAGGGAGGGAGGAAATATAGCTTTAAGGGCCGGCTTTATTTTGGCAGCTGTCGTGTGCTGCCTATGTCTCCTTCACAATATACTCATTTTATACACTTTGAATTTCAAAGTTAGAATAGAAATTGTAATAAATAAAAGATACATAATGAGAGACTTATGGTTCTAAATCTAAATAAACTAAATAGATGGGAGACATATAATGTTTCAAAGAAATGTAAACTTTAAAGGAATAAAGGACCTACTGGAAGGAGAAAAGTCTGACAAAGAAAATAAAAATGAATGGGAGAGAATTTAAAAAGACTACAGTGAAAAAAGAGAGAGGAGAGATATTCCAAGAAAACATAAAGAACTTTTAAAGGGCCAATTCAAATAATCAAACATATTAATAAAAACAATTGATATGGTTTTAAATGTTGGTTTAAAATATTGTAGGGGTGCCAGCCCAGTGGCATAGTGCTTAAGTTTGCGTGCTCTGCTTCGGTGGCCCTGCGTTCGCAGGTTTGGATCCTGGGCACAGACCTATGCATCGCTTATCAAATCATGCTGTGGCAGGCATCCCACATATAAAGTAGAGGAAGATGAGCACAGGTGTTAGCCCAGAGCCAATCTTCCTCAGCCAAAAAGAGGAGGATTGGCAACAGACCTTAGCTCAGGGCTAATCTTTCTCACCCCCCCCCCCAAAAAAAATTGTAGGGATTTAAGATAAGGAAGAAAATACTAAAAACTCCAAGAAAGTGAACATTTTAGACACAAAAGAGCATCAAAATGATGGAGGGCAAGAAAAATGAGAAGTCATGCTAATAGTAATGTGGCAGATAAGCAAAA